TGGGACAGAGCTAGAAGTGCAGATATACGACGTTGGTGCAAGGTGAAGAACATCAAGAGCTTGGTAAGAAATAGAAGAGTAAAATGGAACGATCATATAAGCCGAGTGACAACAAATAGAGTAGTAAAGACAGCAGGAGACGGTTCCCCATTAGGAATACGATCAATAGGAAGACTAAGAAAACGATGGAACGACAACTTATTGGAGGCACATTGAAAAATAGACCAAGTCATATTTACCTAAAAAAGAAGAAGAAAATGAGATTATGGAGTTCTCTTTAGAGAGTTGTAGAACTCGTCTGTTATAAATTCTGGAAGGTTGGCTGTGTAAGCGTATACTTGGATTGTGTGATTTTTTATGGACCTAGATCTTTGTTGGACTGATATCACACTTCCTGATTTGTGAATAAAATTTAATTTATGAGATACTTAGCAGTTGTATTGTTTAATATTAATTTGACACCATTTATATCTAGTGCTGACTGTTGGCACCGGTAGGATTTTCTGAGTATATCTATAAAGACCATTTTCATTTCCTTAATGACATTGTGAGATTTCCCAGCTTTGTACATTGTTTTTATGTTCCAAAATATATCTTATTATGGCACTCCAGAATCTCTATCTGTCGTATGTAGTTTTTTGCGTGTTACGAAGTTTTTGTTGTGTGACTATATTTACCCTGCCGGATCTGACTAGTACTTTTCCTGCCGTTATAGGTCATAACACATACAATAGATATAAAAAATTATCTTTAATTTAGTGGTTTATCGGTACATTCTACATCTCAATGTTATTAACCAATTTATTTCGTCCCTTTTCAGAGTTAGTTTGTCGACCTAAAGGTAGTGAAGTACCCTGTTAAATGTCAGTCCTACTACCCGCTGTTGTTGACCAATAAGTGGGGAATTAGTTATTTTGATAATTTTTCGACTGTTCTAACAACCATTCAAATTTTGTCATTTTGTGTCATGTGGAACAATTTCACCCAATCATGTCAACATTAGACTGATAATTGCATTCAGTGCAATTTTCAATCCCTATGACAACACGATCGAGATTGACAATTTCATCCAAATAAATTTCAAAATGTCACGTTTCGGCAATGAGAATGTTCAAAGTATAATATAATATATAATAGATCTTCTTATAGTAGAGAACAGCAACGAATCTAATGTCAACTTGTAAATTTTAATAATTGTACTTTCACTAACTGTACTTTTAATAAATAAATGTTTCGTTATGTTGAGTTATGATTTTTTTTTTCGAAAAATTATCCGCCGAATATCCCTCGGACATTGATGAATGCCTCATAATTTCATGACAAATTTCTCAAGCTCGTTGCTTGGTAACAGCACTCAGCTTTCGGCTTCGTGCTGTTACCAAGGAACGAGCTTTCGATTGTCATGAAATTATAATGTCTGTTATCAATGTCCTAGGGATATTACTACTGATAATCGTTCAGTTAGAGGTTCTATTTATTTTAGTTCCATGCTTGTTTTTTTGATTGTAGACGTAAAGATGTAAATTTTTTTGCATATTTTTTGGGGTCCCAAAATTAACATTCTTCAAAAATTTAGTTTGATGATTTTTAGAGAAGTTCAGTGGCATTTTCGTCTCTGACGACTAGAGTAAAAATAAATTAATTTATTTATAACAAAACTAAAGGATCTCTGGAATTTAGCAATGCGTTTTTTAGATTGAATTTACGTTAAAAAAAAAATAAAGAAACTTGCTTTATTGGAAGCACAGAAAATGCATTTTTTTACGTATACTGATTTTGATATTTGAAATTCAATTTTGTTTAAGTGTTAAGTTTTTTCCAACGCCGTTTTATGTTCATAATTTGTTCAAAAAATTGTTCATAATTTTAACACATTCCTGAGGACGTCCAAATAATTCGATTAATCCATTAACTACGTTAGATAGGTTAAGTGTATTTTTATAAGTAAAAAATTGGCAAACGTCTATATAGACTCCATTGATTTGGTGAAAAAGTTGTACACAATTTGTAAAAAATAATTACTATTTAAATGTGGAACCACAATTACTAATGTTTGTAATTTGAGAACGATTCCGAAGTGGAAATTGAAACCTCAATAAACGTACTTTAACCTTGAATTGTGGCTTATTTCCATTTAAATTGTTATTAAAAATAATGTTGGATTTGAAATACTACAAAATGTTTCAAAAATTGTATGGGTAAGTTTTCTGAATTTCATGTAATTAAAAAAAAACAGCGCTACAGGCCTTGTAGGCCCCTGACTTCTAAAATCTTAATTATTTCCCTCCATTTTTTTGGTCCCTTTCTTTCTTTCTTCAATTTCTCACATCTATTTCTGACAAGTCTTGCTTCACTGCTTCCAACCATTTCTTCTTTGGACGTCCTCTTCTTTTTTCCCCATTCCTCCATCCTTCAGTATTGTTTTAACATTTCCACTCTCTTACATTCGTATAATGTGGCCAAGCCATCTAGCTCTTTAGGCTCGTATTTTGCTGTAATTGCTGATTTTCTATACATCCTCATTATTTCTTTCTTTGTTCGTCTTCTCCACATATTCTCTACTCTGTCTTTCCTCGATCCTTACTTTTTTTTCTTCCTGTTGGTTCATAATCCACGTTTCACTGGCATACATCACTGTGGGTCTGATAACTGTAGCTCCTTTCATTTTTATATTTTTGTTAATATTTGTTATATCTCCTCTCATTTCCATATATTACATTTTTGTTTGGTTAATTTATTAATCCGTACAATCGTAGATGTTTTTTTGTTCTCGCTAGTATCACCACATCATCCGCGTACACTATGTACTGTACTCTGCTATTGAAACTAGTCCTGTTTGTGCTCATATTTGACATTCTTACGATTTGTTCTAATACTATGTTAAACAAATTCGTTGATTGTGGATTCGCTTGTTTTAAACCTCAGTTCACTGTGAAAAAACTACCCTATTTATCGTGTTCCTAAGCGTCATTCTCACTGGTCTTATAAGCTTTTCTGCTATTTCTAACGTTCTCATGGCCTTATATAGCATCGTTCGATTTGAGGAGTCATATGCTTGTTTAAAATCGAGAAATAGTAAATGTAATCCTAAGTTTTGTTCGTAGCTATTATTTTGTATTAATTTTAACATAGGTACCTACTTATTTGATCAGTAGTTGTTTGTCCTGCTCTAAAACCTCCTTGGTTTCTCCAATTACTTTGTGTCATATTTTATTAATCCTTTCCTAATATTTTGTTTAAGTGTTTTTAGACTTAAAATAGTGCTATACCTCTATCGTTTTCGCATTCCGTTTTGTCTGGTTTTTAATAGATAGGACAAATAAGAGCGCTATTCCATTGTTTCGGCATTTCTTCCTTTTGCCAAAGTATTAATGCCAAGTTAAATATCCTTTCCTTTAATATTTCATCACGTTCCTTAAAAATCTCAACTGGTATACCACTTTCTCCTATACTTTTATTATTTTTAGACCTCTTATTATTTCTTCGACTTCATTCAAAGTCGGTTCCTTGCACTTTTTTCATCTTCTTGCCAATACTTATTTCCCTAGAGTTCGTCTTGTTGGTCTATATTTAATAGATCTTCGAAATATTCCGCCCATTTGTTTAATTTTACTGTTGTTTCTCCTAAAAGTAAGCCTTCTTTGTTTCTGCAATTCTGCGGATTATTCTTTGTAGTTTCTCTGGAGTTTTTAACTTTTGGATAGAAATTATTTACCTCCTTATTTGTGTAGGCGTCTTCTATGTTTTTCAATTGCTTTTCTAGCTGTTCTCTTTTCTTTTTTCTGTAAATTCTTGTCACTTCTCTTCTTATTGCCACATAGTTTTCAATCGCATTTTGGGTATGTTCTTTATCTCTTTGTAGTTTTGACTTTTTTCCTCTTGCTAAAGCAGTCTTACATCCTCCATCAAACCAGTCTTGCCGTCTTTTGACATGCTCTCTTCCTATACATTTTTCCGCTGCTTTCGATTTGGTTGTTTGTATGGTCTGCCATTCTTCTTCTATCACCTGTTTGACTGGATTCTCTAGCTTTTTATTTATTTATTCCTCTAGTCTGTTTACAACCTGCTTCTCTTGAAGGCGCTCTAATTGGGTATTTAATCTATCTCTTAACAGGTTTTGGAATTATTGGTAGTTCTCGTGTTAGTTTTGCTATTATTAGTGTATGGTCACTGTTGGTATCTGCCCCTCTGTAACTCTTGCAATCGATTATTTCCTTATCTATTAACATAAGAGGCAATAATTTCTTCTTTCTGTTAAAATTTTTTCTTTAAATTCAATATTAAAAAAAATTTAGATTACCATGAGAAATTTTTCTCAATTATTATGAGAAATTTATTAAATTGAATTTAATAAAAATTAGTGTGCTGTTTTATTATGTTATGAATATTCTTCAAACGAATTATGAAGGTCCTAATTGAGAGATTTTGTGTGGTTTATAAACCATACTAAAGCCATATATGGTCTCTAAACTCTAGTCTATAAACCAATTTTAGTTTTCGGGACGGCTGCAAAAAAAATTTACATTACGTTGGAAACACCATTACCACAAACATGACATTAAATATTAATAATTTATTTTACGCATTTTCATTACAACAGAATACATACAAGACAGCAATAGCATGAAGGACGGTGGTTGATTTATCTACTGTGAATTTCAAGTATTTTAACTCTAATACATAGACTTTTTGAAAATTAAACTTATTATTTAAAATAAAAATACAAGTCAAAGATATTTATACCAACTGTTTGTAGGGGTAGTATAAATACCGAGAATACCAATATTTGGACTAATTCTTTACATAATAGATAATAATAGCAGAGTTCGGTATTTCCATACTCAGATGTTTATTCTATTTATTTACCCTAATTATTTATATAATAGATAAATAGTAGATAATAATAACATACATAATGCAGTTTATATATGATATTCAAACCAAAAAAGTGTATAAACATTTTAAAACTATACAATATTATTGTAAAATTGCTTTTCCAGAGGCATGGCCAGAAACTTGCAAAACTGGACATCGTCAATCACCCATAGATTTAAATCAAAAAAAGGCAGAAGCACAAACGCCGGATCCGTTTAAATTCTATTCATATAATAAACGGTTTAAAGCAAATATACAGAATAGTGGACATGGAGGTAAATATTTTTAACTATTGGAGCAAATATTTGTACATTTCTTAACCCTTAACTTGGCAAAAGGTTAATTTTGAATCTAAAAATCTGAAAATTGGTATGTTTGCTGTTTGGGCATCATTCAAATATTCTATAACAGCCAAAAAAAAATATGACACTATATGTCAAAAATTTGGATTGTATACCAGAGTACACATTGCCAAATAGAGCGAAAAATAGGTCTGTATAGCATATCATACATTGCCAAATTATGAAGGACCAGGAATATGAATAAGAACTATCAAAATTTAATCAAAAATATTGATTTATTAATGTGAACTTCCATAAAACAATTCCTGTTCTGCACTAAACATAGTCTAATATTACACTTGTTACAAAATATAGCAGTTTGTCCCTTCTTGCAATTTCTGCACCTGCCCATTGCACCGTATACTGGAAAATGATCCAGATGATCTAATCTGATATCATCTTGGGGTCTAGGCTTTACCGGGTTTTTAATTTTTTTTGAAGATAGTAGGAAGTGCTCATTGCTGGGACGTCCTCTTTTTATTTTGTTAGCCTGCAGTAGACTTTTAGCAAGTTTAATTCTAAATTGTTTCAAAGGAATGACTGTTTTTTTATCTTCTTGTAGAATGCTTGCATCACGTTTATATAGTAGCCAAGCATTATTAATGGATATGTCTATAATTTGAGAAAAAATGCCCATATACAATCCACACCACCCATATGACTGTTATAGTGTTTTATTAACTGTGGGCATGGAATGTGGATTTTCCTGTTATCCGTTTTGGAGAATCTCTGTATGGTTGTTATTGGAATGGAGGCTACATATGAACTACATAAGGTTACGGACTTGTTATCGTACCACTTTACAACGACAATGCGACTATCATTGTCTACTTTTTGGTCGAAAGAACCTCTTCCATCTTTTTTCATTTTCTTATCAGATTCAAGTGGGCAACACCGTAGTCTGTCTTTCCTAACAGTTCCCAAAGAAAGTATTCCAAAGTCACTTCGAAGATAGGTAATAAGTTCTAAACTTGTAAAATAATTATCGAAATAAACTGTCGATAAAGGTTTATTTTGGATTGTTGAACATAGTGCTAAAACACATTTTGCCCCAAATCCCATGTTATTTTCCTTATCCGTAAAATGATGGTTTCTAAATGTATCGTTTCCTCCATAGGGAAAGAAATCATACACTATCCCTGATACGCCACAACGAACAAACATTTTGAAACCCCATTTTTTTGGTTTGTTCTTCACATATTGTCTTCTCGAGCCTGCCTTTTTTCCCTTGTATGGGACCATCATTTCATCCACTGAACATCTAGACTCTGATTCAATTGTGAGACAGTTTCTTCGTACACGATCTAAAATAGGCCTTATTTTGAAATATCTGTCATTATTCAACTCCTCATTGTTGACAAAATGTAGGCTGCGTCGTATTGCTTGATACCTCTTTAGTGACATTACATTTGCAATAAGTTCATAACGCGTCTCTTGAGACCAATAGTCCGTGTACGCCGGCATGTCAACAATCCCCATTAAAATTGTGATAGCTAAGAAATCGTGCATCTCATCTATACTTGTGTCTACACATTTGTGAAATATTTGTGTCGAGTACAGGTTAGTCTGTTCTACGATTAATTCAACAATATCTGGACTAAAAAACGTTTTAAAATATTGCAAAGGTGTTTTTATATTTTGGGGTTTTGTAAAATCATTACTCTGTTCTGTTGTTACCTCATATTCAAAATCATCAGTCGTCCAGTTGAATGAAGGCTCGTCTTTTTTCTCCTTCCGTTTTAATGAAGAGCTTGCTTGTTTTTGGACCACTGTAGAAAATTGTGGCACTACTGAGGGAGTAGCTGCTGCTAGTCTTCCTTTACTGACTGAAACAGGTAATATTTCTACAGCTTCATTTATATCTTCTTCAGAAGTTATATTTTCTTCAACATCATCTGTGTCTTCTGTGAATTCTTTTAAAAAATTACGAGATAATACCTCTTGTTCGTCATCACTACTACTCTCTGGGTCGCTTTCAGCACCAACTGGAGGCAAAAGAGCCATTATTCTATCAATTCTCCTTTTCTTAGTCTGAAAAAAAAATTAATGTCAAATAAGCCATATCGGGCGGTGTATACTATACAATACATAAAGTTTTGAATGGATTTGCTGAAAAAATATTAACATTACACCAAAAATTTGTTTATACATAAACAGTATAATGTTTCAAAAATAAGTTCCCAAAAAATTAGCACTGTACAATGAAAAACAATAAACTAATATAAACACTTACCACTTGTTGGTTGGAACAACGCGCGTGCTCAGCCATTTTGTCGAGACTGTATCCATACCATCAGAACTAAATGCGCGAAACTAAGAATTTTCGGGCTGATTTCCACTCGGCTACTTACGGTAGTGTGTACTCAACTATACAGTGCCAAGAACTGGGTTTCAAATACTATTGATTGTCAAATAAAAAATTTGAAATATTATGTATATTATAACATACGTTGCCAAGTTAAGGGTTAAATAGATTATAGTGTTTAGATTAATTTTAGAGTGAAAAATTTTAGAGTGAAACAGTGTAAAAAGTAAAACATTGATTTTTTTTAAACAGTGTTATTGAGAAGTAATTTCCAGTACTAATGTCTTGATATATTAGTAAACGTATTCAACCTCTGTTTCCGCGTCTGTTATTCTTCCTCTGGTTAATATCGAAACAGACGACGACCAACGACTAGATGGACGGACGGACGAATAACAACAAATTGAATGCAAGAAGCTCAAGATAGAAATAGGTGGAAAATTTTACGGGATGCCTACGTTCAGCAGTTGACAAATATAGGATAGTTGATTATTCAATATAATATACAGATTGCACCAAGGCTTGGTCCTTAGTCCTGATTTATTCTCATAAGTGTCGGATCAGATAGCGAAACTACAGGGTAACATTCCATGGTGCTTAATGTATGCTGATGATGTAGTCTTAGTAAAAAAGAGTGTGAGCGACTTTGGAATGTTCATTTATACTACAAATAACATGATATCTTTAAATGGTAAAATAATTGTGAAAAGTAATAATTTTAAGTGCTTGAAATCGGTAAAAGGGACTTACAAGCCAGAAGAAAAGCTAAAATACAAATGAATATACCAAATACAACAGAAAAGATAGTGAGCAGCAGACAAAAAAAAGCAAAACTTCTTCTTCTTTTTATGTAGAATTTTTATGTGTTTTTCAATATGCCTCCAGTAAGTTGTCGTTTCATCGTTTTCGTGGTCTTCCTATTGATCGTCTTCCTATTGGGGAACCGTCTCTGGCGGACTTTACTACTCTATTCGTTGTCATTCGGCTTATATGATCGTACTATTCTACTCTCCTATTTTTTACCAGTCCTTGATGTTCTGCACCTTGCATCTATATTGTATATCTGTACTGGCATGCAGAAAAGCAAAACTGACCCGCAGAAAAAAGAAACGAGAATACTGTTTGTACTGAGAAATACTGAGAAAACGGAGATAAAGTTAAAAGATATGGAAAATCAAATAACAACAAAAGATTAAAAGTCAAAGTCAATAAAGCTACGGGTTTCGGAATTATGGTTATACAGAAGGATCCTAAAAATACCATGAACAGACAAGTCACCAATGAAGAAGTACTGCGGAGGATGAACACAACCGCGGATTTGGTCAACATCGTAAAGGGCCGTAAGTTGCAATACTTGGGACATATAATGAGAAATCAAGGCAGATACGTGCTAGTTCAATGCATTTTGCAAAGTAAAATTTAAGGAAAAAGGGCCCCAGGACGAAGAAGAATATCCTGGCTCGCTAATCTGAGAGCATGGTATCGAACACAGCTATTCCGTATAGCAACCATCAAAATCATCATAGCTAGAATGATCGCCAACGTTCGGAATGGACAGGCACCCTAAGAGGAAGAAGTTTCGGAATAGCAAAATCGCATACTTATGCAGAAGTAAAGAAGGCACGCTAATAGGTGACTTACCAAGAAAACTAAAGAGATTGGCAGAATATTTTGAGGAACTGCTAAACTCACTGGAAAATACCTTCTTCTTCTTCTTTGGGTGCCGTGTCCGTATTCAGACGTTGGCCGTCATCATGTTTACAATTTCCTGAAACCTTTCTCTGTCGGCTGCTGCGCGAAATAATTCTTCTACTGTGTACTGTGGAAAATACCAATGAAATACAATCAGAAACCGGATCGAAGCATAATAAGGCCGAAATAAATGAACAATCAGATCGGGAGTTAGAGAAAATAATAAAGCAGCGGAAAACGGGTATAATAGCAGAAATATTCAAGAAAGGTAGGCATCTATTACTTAAACGAATAACCAACCTAATAAAATGAGTTTGAAAAAATTACAAATTACCATAAGGCTGGAAAAATGCATCCATATGTACGATCCACAACAAAGAAGATAAAAGCCAATATCATAATTATAGAGGAATTGCTTTATTAGATGTAGCATATAAGATATTGGCTTTATTATTAAAAAACCGACTAACAAAATAGGAATCTGAAATAGTAGGTGAATATAAGGGAAGGTTTAGAAGAAACAGATCTACAATTGATCAGATTTTTACGATGAAACAAATATTGCGCAACAGCTACGAACAATATCTAGGTTTGCACATTCTGTTTATAGACTTTAAGCAGGCATACAACTCAATCGATAGAGAAACATGAAGCGATAAATCTTTTAAAATTACCTATCAAACTTAATAAAGTTAATGGAAATGACCTTAAAAAAAGCATTAAATAAAGTGATCCTGAAAGGAGGTTATCAGAAACTTTTACAATGAGGAAGGGATTAAAACAACATATCGACTGATCACAACTTTATTTAACTTTATCCTAGAAGTTATCCTACGACAAAGTTGTGTAGAGACAGATAGTATAATATACTACAAAAAACTACAAGTTATTGTTGTTGCAGACGATATTGCAAATAAGATCAAATAAAATAGAGTAC